TAGAACTTTTCTTTCTATGTGCAACTCAAACCGACCACCGTGCTCATTCATACCAAAATTAATTTCACGACGTTAGAACTGCATGCAATTAATAAAAATTGTTTAAAATTAGTGTCTAGCCGTCCAAAAAAGTAAGAAACCAAATGCGAGATCATACATTTTTCACAATTTTCTAAGACTTCGCTATACCATCGAAACCAAATTCTGTTCGACATAAAATTCAATACTCAACGAAAATTTCGACGCGGTTGCATAGCTCATAATACGAATTTCACTTTCAATCTTCGATAACCAGCGAAGATCGAAAATCGAATACAACTCATAGTAAGGACCTTTAAGATAACACAGAACGGGAATCGACCCCAGCTGGCAACCTGTGAGGGTTAAATTTTGCTGAAATTTATACATTCATTCGTCCACCAAAATCCTTCGATAAAAAGATAAACTTTGGGTAAATAGATTTCCATACAAAGTTTGACAGTTCATTTATCAACAAGATAAATTTATCATTTTATCAAGTTTATCAGCAGTTTGTCACTTTAAACCAGGGTACGAAAATAAACTATATTGTACGTTACTATTTCGTTTCGTTTATTACTTCAACAGTTCGGTACAATACGAAAACAAAACGGCTGAGTTCACTTTGGCGATAGTACACTACAGTAGTTTAGTAGTTCATTTCTACAGCTTCTGCAGAAATCGTTGTGGGGGACTCCTAAGCAGGGTACGAAAATAAACTATATTGTACGTTACTATTTCGTTTCGTTTATTACTTCGACAGTTCGGTACAATACGAAAACAAAACGGCTGAGTTCACTTTGGCGATAGTACACTACAGTAGTTTAGTGGTTACAGACGAAACAACAAACGAACTGAATCGTGCAGAGAAAAATATATGTATGTATATACACCAGGGGCGGGCATTTTTTGATTTTCCAAACACAACTAATTGGGCATCAAAATGCTGCTTGCTGCGACGTCGGCACATGTATGCTATCATCGTCTTCGTGCGACTTACGATAATTTACGATTGACTGATGCTTCGCTGGTATTTCGGCAAAGCAAATCAAATCAGTTGTTGTTGAGAGTGTTCGGACGCAAAGTTTTCTTAGTGGTAAATAAGCATGAAAAATTGTGGTACATTCCAAAACAATGTGGTAAATTCAAATAAATAAATTTATAAATATGTTATATGCACTTATGGTCAGCTGATTAAGTTAAGTGACATTTTGACCAGTTTTGGCTATATATATATTTTCTTTATTTAATGTTTATCTCTTTTATTGCCGACGGTACTAGGCTTTTTCTTCCATATAAAAGAAATTGCCAATCATTAAAAATCAACGCGATTTCTTAGCGCTTGAAATTTGCACTTTGAGCTACTAAATTTTAATGGGGTATAAAACTGCATATCTAAAACTTTTGTAGAAACTCTAAATAAAAAGCCAAAGCGACAGAATAAGATGCTTTTTTTAGAAATGAGCTATCATTTTCTGATAGACATTGATAATTTTCGTGTTGATGTGTATTACTTTCACCAGTCATAAATTTAATAAAGAACGCTGCTTTTAGTTCTAAAAGCTTCAGTGCTCGATCCCCCTCTTTCACCTTTTCAAAATGACTATGATACAGTTTGTAATGTATTTTTAAACAAGACATGAAATTGCGACTCAAAACGCGATAGCAGATCACGCATTGCGCACACTCATCCATGTTTTCTATGCAAAAAAACAAAAAAATATTTCCCATTCCTCCCGAAAAATTGTATGTGTGTATTGTTCGAATAATTGCGCAGTGAAGTCTCAGCAGCAACTGATTTGATTTGCATTGCCGAAGTGCTAGCCAGTGTTGCCGCGAAACATTTTTAGCGGTAGCTAAATTCAGGCTAAAAAAGGGCTAAAAAAGAGCTAAAAATCGTCGTTGTGGCTAAAAATGGTAGCTAAATTTTTTTACCTACATATAAATATATAAGTATACACGCAAACATTTTCTATAAGTAATGATATGGAAAAACAATGAACTCTGGAAAGAATTAATATTTTATTCAACAAATAAACTTGTTGTGTAACACATAAAGCATATTAAGGGCCGCCAACTTACCTATTTTAAAGTATAGTTAAATCGTTAATGGATAAGATAACGGCCCAGAAACGTAAAAAACATACATATACATATGTATGTACAGTTTAAAAATTAATTTCTTACATAAACAAAAAAATGAGATCACATTAAGAATACATAAGTACTAGAATCATATCTATATACAGTGTCGGACAATACTAAATAACTTAAATAATTTCAAACTATGCTTCGAAAAATATCCATTTGTAAAAGAAATTTTTAAAATGTTATGTTATAATTTACAAAGAATTAAAATGTCGGTGCTTTATTATTGTCCGACCGTGTATGTATCAAACAAACAAAAGAGTATTCATTTAATGAACTCATAGTAAAATAAT